ATCCATTCTGTCACTCTCCGTCTTTTTATGGGTGAATTTAGGCTATTTACATTCAGTGTAATTAGTGATAGGTGTGAGTTTATTGCTGTCACTTTGTAGTGCTTTTCTATGTTGTGCGTTTTCTTTGTTCCTCTTACTATCCTGTGCTGATTTCCTTTTGTTTGTAGATTTTTTTGAATTTCTTTTGTTTTTTGTAGGTTTTGTTTTTACTGAGACTTTATGTTTTCCCTCTTTATTTTGATGTGTAGGTTTGTTAACTTTCTTTGTGGTTACCATGGGATTTACCCTTATCTTTTAAGTTTGAAGCAGTCTATTATTACTTGGTATTGCCTTACCTTTCTCTCCATTAGAAGGTTCTATACCTACACCGTTCTCTCTTTTTTTTTTATTGTACTTCAGGTGAAGGTTTACAGAACAAATACTTTCTCATTAAACAGTAATACACATACTGTTTTATGACATTGGTTAACAACCCCATGATATGTCAACTCTCTCCCTTCTCGACCTTTTTTGTTTTTTTGGTGAAAATATTCATAGCCAAAGAGACACCATTTCAAAAATTTCTTCAAGCACAGTTCAATGACATCGACTATGCTTTTCCAATTGTGCCGCTATTCTCACTTTAGATGAACTTTTACAGAACAAAATAGTTTCTCATTAAACAGTTAGTATACATGTTGCCCTATGACAGCGGTTAACAACTTCACTACACATCACCACTGTCTTTACTCAACCTTGGGTTCCCTATCACCAGCTTTCCTGTACCCTTCTGCCTTCTAGCCCTTGTCCCTGGACTGCTGTGCCTCATTAGTCCTGTTTTGTTTTATGGGGCTGTCCCATTCCCAGCTGACAGGTGAAGCTCAGAAGTGACTTCACCACTGAGCTAAAGGGTGTCCGGGGGCCATACTCTCGGGGTTTCTTCAGTCTCCTTTAGGCCAGTAAATCTGGTCTTTTTTGTGTGTGTTAGAATTTTGTTCTACATCCTTCTCCAGCTCTGTCTAGAATCCTCTGTTGTGATCCCAGTCAGAGCTGTCAGTTGTGGTAGCCGGGCACCATCTAGCTGTACTGGACTCAGTCTGGTGCAGGCCTTGGCAGCTGTGGTTCATAGTCCTTTGGAGTAATCTTTTCCTTGTATCCTGTTCTCTTCATTTTCCCTTGTTCCTGAAGGGATGAGACCAGTGGAGTATCTTAGATGGCTGCTAACAGGATTTTAAAACCCCAGACGCTACTCACCAAGGTAGAATGTAGAACATTGTCTTTCTAAACTGTGTTCTGCCAATTGAGCTAGATGTTCCCTGAGACCATGGTCCCCACAGCCCTCTGTTCAGTCCCTCAGGGAGTTTGGATGTGTCTGTGAAGCTTCCATGACCTTTCCTTGCACAAGTTGTGCTGGTTTCCCCAGTATTGTGTACTGTCTCACCCTTCACCAAAGATACCACTTATCTGTTACCTATTCAATATTTCCCCCCCACACCTCCAATCCCAGGTAACCAACAAAGATTGTTACTTTTTGTGTGTAAACTTTCTCATGGGTTTTTACAATAGTGGCCTCAGACAATATTTGTCCTTTTGTGATCGACTTATTTCACTCAGCATAATGTTCTCCAGTTTCATCCATGTTATGAGATGCTTCACAGATTCATCATTGTTCTTTATCGTTGGATAACACTCCATTGTGTGTATGTACCATAGTTTATCCATTCATCTGTTGATGGGCATTTAGGTTGTTTCCGTCTTTTTGCTATCGTGAACAATGCTGCCATGAACATAGGTGTGTATGTCTATTCAAGTGACGACTCTTATTTCTCTAGGATATATTCCTAGGAGTGGGATTGCTGGATTGTTTGGTATTTCTATTTCTAGCTTTCTAAGGAAGCACCATATCGTATTCCAAAATGGTTGTATTGTTTTGCATTTCCACCAGCACTGCATAAGAGTTCCGATCTCCCCACAGCCCCTCCAACATTTGTGATTTCCAGGGTTTTTGATTCATGCCAGTAATGCCGGGGTGAGATAGTATCTCATTGTGGTTTTAATTTCCATTTCTCTAATGGCTACTGACTGTGAGCATTTCCTTGTGTCTGTTGGCAGCTTGAATATCGTCTTTGATGAAGTGTCTGTTCATTTTCTTTGCCCATTTTTTAATAGGATTATTTGTCTTTTTGTTGTAGAGATGTTGGATTTTCTTGTAGATTATGGAGATTAGACCTTTGTCTGACTTGTACTGTCCAAAAATTTTTTCCTAGTCTGTAGGTTTTCTTTTTTCTCTTGGTGAAGTCTTTTGAAGAGCATAGGTGTTTGGTTTTTAGAAGATTCCAGTTATCTAGCTTATCTTCTGGGGTTTCTGTGTTGATGGTTATGGTTTGTATCCTGTTAATGCCGTGTATTAGGGCCTGTAGTGTTGGTCCTATTTTTTCTTCTATGAACTTTATAGTTTTTGGCTTTATATTTAGGTCTTTGATCCGTTTTGAATTATTTTTTGTATACGGCTTGAGGTATGTTTTCCCTCTTTTCTTGTGATGATGTTGTCATTTACAGGTTAATTACTCTGATTCCCTGTTGCATTTCTTTTGGTTTTGTATAGTCTTTGAGAGTTCATTTCCTAGATTAGTATCTGGCTAGTATGATCCTGTGTTCCAGATTCAGCCTGTAAGCTGATGTTGTTTTTTCTCAGATTGAAGGACTCCCTTTAGTAATTCCTGTAAGTTTGGTTTGGTTTTTACATAGTCCCTTAATTTTTATCTGGAAATGACCTAATTTCACCATTGTATCTGCACGACAGTTTTGCAGAATATATTTTTCTTGGCTGGCAATTTTTTTCTTTCAAGATCTTATATATGTCATTCCATTGCCTTCTTGCCTGCCTGGTTTCTGCCGAATAATCTGAGCTTAGTTTTATTGTTTCTCCTCTGTATGTGACTTTTTGTTTTTTTTTGAGCAGTTCTCAGCATTCTTTGTCTTTGGTTTTGGCAAATGTGATTATGATATGCCTCGGTGATTTTCTTTTGGAGTCTTTCCTATATGGGGTTCATTGAGCTTCTAAGATGGCCAGCTTTTCATCTTTCATGGTATTGGGGAAGTTTTCTGTCAGCAGTTTTTTGGTGATGTTCTCTGTGTTTTCTGTTTTCTCCCCCTGTTCTGGAACTCTGATCACTCGCAGATTTTTGCTTTTGATTGTATCTCACATAATTCTCAGGGTCTCTCCCCTTTTCCTGGTTCTTTTTTCTGATTTTTTTCTCAAGCAGAATTGTATCCAAGTGTTTCTCTTCAGTTTCGCTAATCCTGTCTTCCACTGTTTCAGACCTGCTCCTCACCCCCTCTATGACACTTCATTTCTGAAATCCTGTTTATGTTTTGCATTTCTAATTGTTGTTTTTGTATGATTTCTAGTTGTGAATTTATTTTGGCATTTTGTTCTTGCATTATTTTCCTGAATTTTTCCATTTTTTTGTCTGTATTTTCTATGAATTTGTCTATTTTTCATCATTTTTGTCTGCTTTTTCTTCAACTCTTGGATTGCTGTGAATATTACAGATTTGAATTCCCTAACAGATAGGTCTAGTTTCTTTTTTTCTACTGGAAAGTCATCTGGTGTTTACAACTACTGGAAACATCCTGTTCTGTTTTTGTAAATGTTTTAATATTGTCTGTTGTTTTTGGGGCATTCAGTAGTTATTTTCCTCGTTTATTGATTGTAAATTTGGTTTGTCCTTTTTTATTTGGCTACATCAGAGCAGGTGGGCTGTGTGTTCTTTGTTGTTTGCTTGTCTTTGGGCACGATACTTTTCACCTCCAATTGGCAGTGTCAGTCGCTCAGATATGGTATGGCAGGGCAGTTGTAGCTGAAGAGGAGTTGCTGGGATGGGTTGTTTGTGGCAGTACGGCCACCATGGCGGGCCGTTAATCAGTGCAGGGCAGGTTCCAGTATGCCATGCCTGTGCTGCTTGGTGGTGTGATGTTCAGCGCACGGTGAAGGTAGGCAGGATGGAGGGGGGAGACTGATGTGTGGAGCTAAGATGGGTATGGGGGAGAGGAGAGAGGATTGGGAGCTGAAAACATACAAAGAAAAAAGAGTGGTAGGGGAGCTTGCAGTTGGAGTGGAGAGATGAGAGACTATAAAATGGAGAAAAACAAAAGGAAAGGAATAAGTGAATAAATAAGAATAAGAAAGAAAACCAAAGCTCCCAGGGATCCCTCCAGTGTGGCTGCGAGATCTGAGGAAGTTGCTTCCAGGCTGTGAAGTACAGCCTGGCTAAAAGGGGTAGAGGTGTCACTCAGCACCAGGTATTCAGGGGACAGGAAAAGAAGGAAAGTATAGGGAGACAATAAACTGAGTAATGAAGAAAGACAAAAAAGGAAGAAGAGGGAGAAGAAAGCAAAACAAACAAATAAAAAGAACAAGAAAACTCCCAAAGAAAAATTAAAAAAAAAAGCCAAAAATAAAACAAGAAAAAAGAAGTCCCCTCGGGGATCTCTCTGCACATCTGGGCAAACTGAGGGGGTAGGTCCCAAGCCATGCAGTACTGCCCGGCTAGAACAGGCTGCCAGTTTGAGAAAAGAGAAAAGAAACAATTCAAAAGGAACAAAACCCCAAGGATCCTACTAGTTTGGCAGCATGGGCCGGGAAGCCATTTCACATTCAAGTGACATTTTGCAGCCTTTCAGGAAGAAGCAGAGATGGCTCACGGAACCAGGTATTTGAGGGAAAGGAGGAGGAGGTGGTGAGAGGTAAGAGAAATCTAAAGAAGGGGAAAAACGCAATCGCAGCCAACAAATGGCACTTAGGGAGCTGGCCAGCGTGGGCGGATGGAATCCAAGCGACACCGGGGAGAAGGTGGTGCTTCCCGGCTAAGAGACTGGCCGCAGGAAGCAGAGCAGGCAGAGTGGGGATGAAGAAGGGTGGGGGTGGGAAAGCATATATTCTGTCAGCCTCACTTTTTGTTTTTGTACACATGAATTACATGGTACCTTACTGATCCAGAATATGTGGGATATTTTAGGACTCAGTGATCATTGAAGATGTGGCCGTGCTTTTTAGCCAGGAAGAGTGGGCTTTGCTGGATATTGCTCAGAGGAAACTGTACAGAGATGTTATGATGGAAACTTTCAGAAACCTTGCTTCAGTAGGTAAGAATGACAGTTTTTTTATTTTAGTCAACAAAAGTATTTTGCTCAACAACTTTGCTCCAGTATTTGGGCTGAGGAATGGAAATAAATTGTTAAAGAAAACAAGCCTGGTCCCTTACTCTGTGGAGTTCACATATCCTGTCTTTCTCATGAAGTTAAAGCTCTTAGTATTAAAGTGAGATTTCGTTTATCTTGTGATTAAAAGCCCTAAGGCTTCTTAAGTGTTGTAAGTGTAAGCATTGGCTTCAGGGATCACTTTGGGGCACTGAGAGATTTATGGTTTGCGATCTTGTACAGAGTTTAACGTATTTATTGTAAGTTTGATGTGATTACTTGAACACAAATAAACTCATACCTGTCCTTCGGAAACCCTGAAGAGCAAAGTATTGGCTGAGTGTCGAGGAATTGTTCATTGCTCTTCACTGTCTTCCTCACAATGTGCATTTCTCCATGAGAACCATGTGAGCTATACACATTTGTTTTCCCAGAGAACTTAGGAAAACTGAGGACAGTGGAGATGGGACTCATGCAGAGCCAATGAGTTGGGAAGCACCAGGAAAGCCAGAATTTTTGGATGGACCAGCCCTGAATGGAGGGAATTACATTTGAATCAGTTAGGAAAAGTCTGTTTTCAGTTGAGGACACAACTTCACAGATACCTGAGCTTACTTTTCTGGCTTTAGCAATCCCCTCACACCTGAGGTCATGGAGACCCTTTTTCTCTTTTAATGTTATATGTGTATTATGCCCAACATCTTCTTTCTTAGTTCTCCTAATTATACCTATTCATGTCACCGTCACTCTATCCTCGTGGAAGTCTTTCCTAGTGATTTGCCTTTTAACCATTGCCAAAGTGCTGAAATGTTGAAATGAAGGTAAATCTTTTTTTGTTCACAGCAACCTTTTTTCCCTACTAATTTCTTTCCTTTTTGTTTCATACTGTGAACCTCATATTGAATTATTGGGTCAGTGTCTCAAAACTTTATTGATGGAGAAAAGTTATCCAGCGAACATATAATGATGCGACTCACGAAGGATAATACCTGGTCCTCCGTGTTAGGAAACATCTTCAAATCACATGGCAGTAAAAATGAGCCTAAAATCCAGGGGAAACTTTTGAGGTGAGTGTCATTTATAGAAAAGAAAGGAGTGCCTCAGGAGAAAGTCTCACATTAAAATACACACACACACACACACACACACACACACACACACACACACACACACATACATATATATACATGTATTTGTACAGTGTTGTTAGTGATAGGTTAATATCCATACTCCTTCAAGGGAGATTAGTACGAATTTTAAATTTAGACACCCACCACTAATGCAAAAAATGAAGAAATTGAAGGTTTTTACCAACTTTTGCAGTCTGAAGTTGATCACATATGCAGTTAGGATGCATTGCTAATTACTGATGATTGGAATGCACAAGTTGGAAACGAAGAGGAATTGGTCGTTTGAAAATAGGGTCTTGGTGATAGAAACAACACTGGAGATTGCATAATAAAATTTTGCCGGATCAACGGCATGCATTGCAAATAATTTTTTTCAGCAATATGAAGGACGGTGGTACAAGTGAACCTTGTCAGGTGGAATCCACAGGAATCAGACCAGCTACGTTTTTGGAGTCATTGGAGAAGCTCAATATAAATAGTTGCAGCAAGGCCGTGGGCTAACTGCGTAACAGACCAATTGCTCACATGCAAGTTCAAGTTGAAGCTGAAGAGAAAAATTCCACAAGAGCCAAAATACGACCTTGAGTATATTGCAGCTGAATTTAGTGGCCATCTTAAGAATAGATTTGATGCATTCAACACTAATTACCGAAGACCAGACAAGTTGTGAGATGACATCAAGGATATTATACATGAAGAAAGCAAGAGGTCATTAAAAAGACAGGAAAGAAAAAAAAAGACCAAAGTGGATGTTGGAAAAAACTCCAAAAGTTGCTCTTGAATGCAGAGTAGCTAAGTGAATGGAAGAAATGATGAGAGAGTCGAACAGATTTCAAAAGGTGACTCTAGAAGCTGAAGTAAAGAACTTTAATAAAATATGTGAAGACCCGGAGTTAGAAAACCAAAAGGGAAGAGCACACTTGACATTTCTCAAGCTGAAATAACTGAAGAAAAAATTTAAGCGTCGAGTTACAATATTGACAGATTCTATGGGCAAAATATTTTAGGACACAGGAAATATCAAAAGCAGATGGAAGGAATACTTTAGAGTCACTGTGCCAGAAAAAACTGGTCGGTGTTCAACCATTTCAGGAGGTAGCAATGTTGAAGAACTGAAGTTACTGAAAGAAAAGGTCCAAGCTGCACTGAAGGCATTGGCGAAAAACAAAGCTCCAGGAATTGACGGAATATCAAATGAGGTATTTCAACAAAAGGATACATTGCTGAAAGTGTTCACTCGTCTGTGCTATGGAATTTGGAAGACAGCTACCTAACAAACTGGAAGAGATCCATATTTATGCATTTCCCAAGAAAGGTGATCTGACCAAATGCAGAAATTATTGAACAATGTCATTAATATTACACGCAAATAAAATTTTGTTGAAGATCATTCAAAAATGATTGCAGCAGAAAATCTACAGGGAACTTCCTGAAACTCAAGCTGGATTCAGAAAAGGATATGAAATTAGGGATATTATTGCTGATGTCAGATGGATCTTGGCTGAAAGCAGAGAATACGTGAAAGATATATACCTGTGTTTTCTGACTATGCAAAGGCATTCTGCTGTGTGGACCGTAACAAATTATGGATAACATTGCAAAAAGATGGGAATTCCAAAATAATTGTGCTCGTGAGAAACCTGCACATAGACCAAGAGGCAGTTGTTGGAACAGAACAATGGGCTACTGCATGGTTTCAAATCATATGTGTGGCAGGGTTGTATACTTTCACCATACTTATTCAACTCATGCTGACAATATCCCACAATCCAAGAAGCTGGACTATATGAAGAACGTGGCATCATGATAGGAGGAAGACTCATTAACAACCTGTGATATGCCAATGGCACAACCTTCCTAGCTGAAAGGCAAGAGGACTGGAAGCAACAAATGATGAAGATCAAAGACTAGCCTCAGTATGGATTACACCTCAACATAAAAACAAAAGTGTGCACAAATGAACTGATAAGTAATACTGTGATAAACAGAGAAAAGATTGAAGTTGTCAAGGATTTCATTTTACATTGATCCACAGTCAATGCCCATGGAAGAAGCAGACAAGAAATGAAATGACATATAGCTTTGGGCAAATGTGCTGCAGAAGACCTCTTTAAAATGTTAAAAAACAAAGATGTCACTTTGAGAACTAAGGTGCCCCTGACCCAAGCCTTGATGTTACAATGTTTCATTTTCATGCAAAATCCAGACAGTGAATAATGAAGACCAGATAAGAATTGATGTCTTTCAATTATGGTGTTGGCAAAGAATATTGAATATACCATTGGTTGCCAAAAGAACAAATCTATATTGAAAGAAGTACAGCCAAAATGTTCTTTAGAAAATAGGATGGTGAGACTTCATCTCACATGCTTTGGATATGTTATAAGAAGGGACCAGTTCCTAAAAAGGACACTATGTTTGGTAAAGAGGGTCAGTGAAATAGAGGAAGACCCTCAACAAAATGGATTGACACTGGTTGTAACAATGGGTTCAAGCATAACTTGTGAGGATGGTGCAGGACCAGGCAATGTTTAGTTTTGTTGTATATGGGGTTGCTATGAGTCGGAACATACTCAACAGCACCTAACAACAACGTGCATAAATCAGGGCTTCCAACTGGTTCGTCACAGTTCGGTAATTGTCAACGTTAAGAATGGCAGCCTATGCAAATTGCATAGTAACCAAATCTGTTGCCTCTCAGATTTCACCTCCAGTAGGAAACAATCAACGGCTCCCCACTCCAAGATGTCAACCTACCACAGCACTTTGTACGTGTGTTGCCCTCTATGTCACACCAGTAATCCAGTCTTTGGCATTAGGCCCCTGAAACTTTTGGGATCCGTAGGGGAGTTTGGATTATTGGCAGAACTATGGCAAGTGGCACCCATTATTAGCAGTGTAGTCAGCTGACATCTTCAAACGGGGCATTACTGTTTGTTTCCTACCTGGGTCAAAATCCGATGGGCATCAGATTTGGTTGCTGTGAACACGTATGCTGCCCTTATTTACATTGACGATTGCTGAAATGTTTTCACCCGGTTCAAAATCCTGATTTATACCAATATATATGTATGTATATGTATATGCTTATGACTACATATAAATCTGTAAAATTGCGTTCAGAGAATTTTCACAATACATTTTCATAAATGTGGGTCAGATGTTCAGTAATTTAAACATATGTCATTTGGACACAGTTATGAAAAAGCCTTGTATTTTAGAGAAACAGTAATTATACTGTTTCTGCTAGATGATTTAACTTACAAAACTTCAGACCAGTCAGGGCAAAAACCATGGAGATTCACTGCACTTGTTAATGGTGAAATGGGAACAAATTTATTTCCAACATCATCTTGCATGTATTTTACAGAAGTGTTACAGTGGAGAACCTCTGTGAAAGTAATGACGGTAATCAGTATCTGACGAGCTTCAGCCAGATTCCAAATCTTACTGGGCTAAAAAAAAATCTTGCAGCAGTAAATGCTTTTGAATGCTGTGAGTGTGGAAAAACCTTCATGGATCTCTCGTCACATAACCATCATACTGGATCTCACACTGGATGCAACACCTGTCAATGTAAGGAATGTGGAGAAGCCTGCAGTTGTCCCTCTCAGCTAACCACTCCTATGAGAACTCTTAATGGAAAGAATCCCCAGAACTGTAAGGTATGTGGAAAGGTCTTCATTTGTATTTCAAACCTTAAGAATCCTGTGACGACACTCACAGGTGAGAAATACTATAAATGTAACGAATGTGGGAAAGATTTCTTTAGTTTTTCGTCCTTTTGGACACATGAGAGAGGTCATAAATGTGAATGTAAAGAACGTTGTAAAACCGATAGTCTTTCATGCCTCATTTTACATAAATTTCTTAACACAGATAAGCCTTATGTATGCAAGGAATGTGGGAAAGCTTTTAGGTGTTCCTCAAACCTCACTAAACATACAGTAACTCACAGTGGAGAGAGGGCTTATGAATGCAAGGAATGTGGAAAAGACTTTAGACATGCTTCATCCCTCACTACACATATACGAACTCACAGTGGAGAGAAGCCTTATGTATGTAGGGAATGTGGAAAAGCCTTTAGTTGTTCCTCACATCTCACTTCACACATTAAAACTCACAGTGGAGAGAGACCGTATGAATGTAAGGAATGTGGAAAAGCCTTTAGTCAGTCCTCATCCCTCACCAAGCATATAAGAACTCACAGTGGAGAGAAACCTTATGAATGTAAGGAATGTGGGAAAGCCTTCAGTTGTTCCTCAGTCCTCACTACACATAAAAGAACTCACAGTGGAGAGAGACCCTATGAATGTAAGGAGTGTGGAAAAGCCTTTAGGTGTTCCTCAGACCTCACTACACATAAAAGAACGCACAGTGGAGAGAGGCCTTATGAATGTAAGGAATGTGGAAAAACCTTTAGTCAGTCATCACACCTCACTACACATATTAAGACTCATAATGGTCAGAGGCCTTATGAATGTCAGGAATGTGGGAAAGCCTTTAGTTGGCCCTCAGACCTCACTACACACGTAAGAACTCACAGTGGAGTGAGGCCTTATGAATGTAAGGAATGTGGGAAGGCGTTTAGTCAGGCCTCATCTCTCACTACACATTTAAGAACTCACAGTGGAGTTAGGCCTTATAACTGTAAGGAATGTGGGAAAGCCTTTAGTCAGGCCTCATCCCTCACTACACATATGAGGACTCACAGTGGAGTGAGGCCTTACAGTTGTAAGGAATGTGGGAAATCCTTTAGGTGTTCTTCACACCTCAGCAATCATACAAGAACTCACAGTGGAGAGAGGCCTTATGAATGTAAAGAATGTGGGAAAGCTTTTAGTGATTTCTCTGCCTTCACTAAACATATAAGAATTCACAGTGGAGAGAAACCTTATGAATGTAAGGAATGTGGGAAAACCTTTAGTCAAGCCTCCAACCTCACTTCACATACAAGAACTCACAGTGGAGCAAGGCCTTATAAATGCAAGGAATGTGGGAAAGCTTTTAGTGATTCTTCATCCCTCACTTCACATATGCGAACTCACAGTGGAGAGAGGCCTTATGAATGTAAGGAATGCGGGAAAACCTTTAGTCGTTCCTCACACCTCATTTCACATAGAAGAATTCACAGTGGAGAGAGGCCTTATGAATGCAAGCGATGTGGGAAAGCTTTTAGTCAGGCCTCAGCCCTCACTACACATATAAGAACTCACAGTGGAGAGAGGCCTTATGAATGTAAGCAGTGTGGGAAAGCATTTAGTCAGGCTTCAGCTCTCACTACACATAAAAGAACTCACAGTGGAGAGACTACTCTGTAAAAAGTAAGATGTTTTCATGCTTATGACAAATTTCCAAAAGACTAGGATTAAAGAACATAGTTTCTCAGTGAGTAAAAAAGCAATAGTGTCTCGAATGTTTCATTAGAGTTACTTTTTGCTTTTGGGAGAAATGACAGTTTCATTGTAATGCAGGACTATCCTCTTCATTATTGATTTTCTCAGTTGAAGCTAAATTTTATGTTTCTGTAAATCTTTGGCTATTACAAATAAGTTTGCAGGGACTAACCAGGAGAAAATGTGATTTTGCATTTTTAATGTTTTTATTAATGTTGTTTTGTATGTAATTAAATACGCTCATCTTATATTTGGTTTATGAGTGTTTGTTTTCATATTTAAATGTTTCCTTCCATTCTTCCCTGTTGTTAAAGTTCTCTTTTACCCTTAATAATTAGTAAGTTTCTCTTAGGGCGATACTTTGACACTGCAAATATTCTGTTTGCCATTATATTTTGAATGACTAATCTTAGTATCCGTGATAATTATTACTTGTGATTATTATTCCTGTGGTGTTCACCAAATTTTATTTTTTGTTCTAATTATTTCTTTCATGTTAATCTGAATTTTGAAAGAAATAGCTCTCCTTTTTCTCCCCTTTTCTTATTTCATTGTAACAGTATAAGAGTCCTCAGATTACGAATAAGTTCCATTCCTAAGTGTGTTTTTAAGTCAAATTGTTATGTAAGTTGGAACTGTTAGGTATGGTTCATATGTAATATCAGCTACACGCTTAGTGTATAGTATATGGTCTACTTTTCTATGCATAAAAAGCATTAAAGAAACACTTCCAGATGCACGAAAACATCTATAACATAATAATATATTAATAGTAACATTTTGATGCACTTCGCAAAGTAGCACCTGTTTGTTATTAGGAGCTTTTGCCACTTCACTGGATTCCTTCTTGATACGCCCTGCTCACTCCCAAATTATGTAGGACAATAGAGCGCCTGCGTTGGCAATCTGCGTGTGAAACTCACCATGGGTGAAGTGACTGGAATGAGAGGGACACACGGAGCATGGATTCTTCCCCTGCAAGGCATGCATGATGTCGTGAGAGGCACTGGTCTTTGCACAGCTCCAACGAGTGAGAGCGAGCTGATACCATGCTGCGAAATAGGCAAGGGATGCAGAGCTTGAGTTCCTGCCAGAAGTTTGTCCTAATTTGTAATAGGCTTTATGGGAGTTGGTCCATAACTACTGGTTGTGCATAAGTCTGACATTTGCAACCTGGGGACTGCCTGTGTAGGCTAATTCATATTACTTTTTTTTCTTGCTCAAATTACCCCAGAGTTGGTTATTAGGAGCTCCCTTAGGAGGTTTGTGTATTTATTTGACATGTACCTATTGCTACTTGTACGTTACTTTCTGCTAGTGTTCAGAGCTCATCTGTTCTTTTTCCTGCCTGTGTCCTGGAATCAGACTTTTCTCCAAGAAACCCCATTTCCTTTTATTGGAGAATGATATTTAGAAACAAAGATCTGGCATTAGGTATTAGCTTATTGTTACTGGGGTCTCAAAGTGGGAAGAGCATGGAAATATTTGTGAGTATACAAGTATACATCGCTTAACTAGTATTTCAGAAAAAACAAAATAACAAATGCTGGGAAGGATGTAGGGAGATTGGAACTCTCATACACTTCTGGTAGGAATGTAAAATGGTGCAACTCCTGTGGAAAACAGTATGGTGCTTTCTCAAAAAGCTAGGAATAGAAATACCATGTTATCTAGCAATGGCACTCCTAGGAATACATCTTAGAGAAATTAAAGGCATGACACGAATAGACACATGTACACCCATGTTCATTGCAGCACTATTTACGATAGTAAAAAGATGGAAAAAGCTTTACTGACTATCAATGGATGAATGGATAAACTGGTATATACACACAATGAAATACTACGCAACATTAAAGAATAACAGCGAATCTGCAAAACATCTCATGGACCTGGAGGTGATGGACCTGGAGGACAGTATGCTGAGTGAAATGTCAATCACAAAAGAACAAATAGTGTATGAGACCACTATTATAAAAAGCTAAGAAAAGGTTTTCACACAGATATAAACATTGTATAATGTTTTCTGGGGTTGGGGGGAAGGAGGGACCACTAACTAGATACTAGACATGCACTAACTTTGGTGAAGGAAAGATAATATACAGTAAAGTCAGCACAACATATTCAAGGTAAAGGAAGACACTGAAATGTATGCAAGAATAAAAGGCAACAACAGCAAATGTTAATACATATGCAGTCTTGCAACAACTGTAATAGTGAACCATAATGTTTGAGTAGATACTAGATGTGTAAGCTGAACAGGGGTAGGGGATCATATGGAAGTACATCCACGTACATGTATATATATACATGCTGCAAATATACCTATTATGCAGTAGAGCATATAGGGGACACGGTTGTGAAAATTTAGCTGTAACAATATACCTCCTGGGACTGAGATACTGGGCTTGAGGGCTAGTGACCATAGTCTTGGGGGACATCTAGGCCAATTGGTATGTCATAATTTATATAGACAATATTTTACATCCTACTTTGATGAGTAGAGACGGGGGTTTTAAAAGCTTGTGAGTGACAGTCTAAGATACAATTGGTGTCTTTCCTTCCAGAGCAAAGAAGAGTGAGGAAAACAAAAACTCATGGAAACAATTAGTCCAGAGGACTAATGGATCACATTAACCACTCCCTCCACTAGACTGAGACTAGAACTACTACATGTTGCTTGGCTACCATTTCCAATCACTCTGGGACCACAATAGTAGGTCATGGACAGAGTGGGAGAGAAATGTAGAACAAAACTCGTAAGAGCAGAGTTACTGTTAAGAGTGGTGGAACCCCCAAGACTATGACCGTTAGATACCCTTCAAATTTGGAACTGAAATTATTCCAAGATTGAGAAAGTTCCCCGTTCTCTCTCTTGACCCCAACCATCCACCCCAGAGAAATTCTTGTCATCGTTTTGTGTGTTTGAAATATTCTATGCATGTGTAAACACAAATGACTTTTTCTGCACAAATACTAGATTACCATACATAAATCATGACCATGTTGTAGCCATACGATAGATAGGTGTATAAAATGAATAGTAACACCAGTGAGGAATGTACACCTTGGAACAATCAACTGTACGTGACCTAAAGAGCAGCATTTGTCCAAAAGTAAAGTTCAGAAGGAAGGTGGGAGCAGGAATGCTGGGCAAATGGACACAGGGATCCCAGGGAGGAAGGAGGGAGAGTGCTGACATTCAGGGGTTTGCAGCCAGTGTCATGAAACAAGCTGTGTATAAATTATAGAATGGGAAATTTATTTGCTCATTTACCTAAACAGTAAAATGTTAAAAAAAAAATCAAGCATAGTAAGATTTCATCTTATGTACTTTGGACATGTTATCAGGAAGGATCAGTTCCTGGAGAAAGACATCATGCTTGGTAAAGTAGAGGGTCAGCAAAAAAGAGGAAAACCCTCAGTGTGATGGATTGAAACAGTGGCTGTAATAATGGACTCGAACAGCAATGATTGTGAGGATGGCACAGGACCAGGCAGTGTTTTTTGTTTTTTTGTATGTGCAGTCACTATGAGTCAGAACCAACTTGATGGCACCAGACAACAAAAATTTCTGGTGCTCTCCCACCACTGCCTACACCTGCACTGATACATCTACCTTGTGTCCCTCTCTAGAGGTGCACACTCTGTTCTGTCCCTCTGTCCGTAAAGTCACCCAGGCTAGTCTGCACCATGTTACTCTGGCTGGATTTTCCTAACATTCACGGGACTCAAATCTATGCTGTTTCTGTGCTCCTTCTCTCAGGTCTGCCTAGTCCCAGTATACACTTTGCCCACCTTCTCTCTCCTTCCCTGCCTGTCTCAGAATGAGTCCTGTATATTGCTCCTGCGCTGGGCTTTTTGGTACTTATGAATAAAGCTGCTGCCTCCTGTGGCCATCTTAAAATGTCCACATTGAGCTGGGTGGCGAGTAGGGTGTGGATGGTCTGCAAGTCCCCACCTTCCTGTGGTCACTTCTTAAACTCTCCCCTAGTGTGGTGCTCAGCCTGGTTCTCCGATCCTTCAGATGATGTCCAGAGTTCCAAGATCACTGATTTCTCAGGTTTTTACTTGTTTTCTTCGCCATTGTGGTGAATTGTGAGGGTGCTAATATCTGTGCTGCCATCTTGCCCCTCCTCCTCCTGTTTTGAACCCTGCTGACAGATTATAGAAGAAATGGAAGAGAGGAGGAAAGGCTCATTTTTTATAAAATATTTTCATGGAACACGTTCATGTCGTCATTTGGTGAGTATATCTTGGGTAAGCACATTCACATATTTAAACTGCTATGACAATATTTCGGCTACAGATACAGGTAGATTATTCATTTGTTTCTAATAAACGTCTGCTTTGGAAATAATATCCATGCCAGATAGTAACTTGGAGCAGGGTTCAGCAAACATTTTTGTAAAGGGCTAGATAGTAAACATTTTAGGCTTTCCAGGCTATATATCCACCTTTGCAGACACTTGACTCTGCAGTTGTAGCTCGAAAGCAGCTGTAGACAAATACGTCCTTGAATTGTAGCCATGTTCCAAGAACACAGTATTTAAAAAAGAAGCTATTGGACACATTTGGCCTGGGGTTGGTAGTGTGTTGACTCCTGACTTAGAGAATAGATTCAGATACAGGGAACAGGTAATTCACAGAGGATACGGTAAAATTAATAGAACAAATAGCATGCAGCTTCCTTTCTGCTCGTGGGACTTACCTAGTAGAAGGTCCAGGATGATTACATCACTCAGGCTCTGCCCTGTGTCCCTGGCCAATGCTGAGTCAACTCAGACTTAATGGCAGACATTGAGTTCTGTTCGTGGTGATGGAAAACTTGACAACAGATATTGGTGATGGTTGCACAATACAATTAATGTAATTGATGTTACTAAATTGTACACTTGGAAAACGTTAAATTGGTAAATGTATTACATATATATTTACAAAAATTCAGGTTAGAGCAGAGAAGTGAATTGCAAACTTTCCTTTTGTTTTATATTCCATGTATTTTATTATTCTAAATGTCTTTTGTATTTGGAGAAGAAAATATATACCCCGATAAAAAATACTCAAATAGTATAATGTATACAATGAAACATCTCTTTCTCATTCTTTATTTAAATCATCGTCCCCAGAGGAATCCTTGTGATAATTTTCTTGTGTATCCAGAGATATTTTATGCATATACAAACACAAATGACGTCTACACAAATAGTAGGTTACCACACATATTGTTTGTACCTTTCTAGTCTTTTTGTCTTAATATGTCTTGGAAATCATTTCACACTGCACATAGCAATTGACCTATCTGTCTCAAACAGCTAATGGTTTATATTACATACACGGACTGTAACGTATTATCCAGTTTTCCAGTTAAGTCTTTTCCTTCCTTTTGTTCTTAAAGACAATGTTGCAAGCCACATTCTTGCCCATCATGCACATGTCTGAGTAATATCTGTAGAATAAATTTCCTAGCAGTGAAATTTTGTTGGGTCAATGGACGTATTTTAAAACGTACACTTCAAATTTTGATAGACAATGCCAGATTGCATTCTATAGGAGCTGCAGCAATTTAAACTCTATCAATAATATATAAATGTGCCTGTTTCCCCACGGCAGTGCCAGCACAGTGTTAAACTGTGATCTTTGCCAAACTGGAAGGTAAAAAATAGTGTTCCATGGGATCGCCACTTTGGAAGACAGTCTGGCAGTTTGTTGCAAATCTAAACAGGTGTACCATTCTGATCCAGCAATAGCACTCCTAGGTATTTACCCAAATGGGTCAAAAATGTGTATCCATATAAAAACCTGCACACAAATATTTGTAGCAGCTTTATTCATAATTACCAAAAATTGGAAGCAACCAAGATGTCATTCAATAGGTCAATGGGTAAACAGGTTGTGGTGCATCCATACAGTGGGATATTATCCACTGATTAAAAATAAATAAGCTACCAAGTTTGGAAAAGACAGAGGAATCTTAAATGCATACTGCTAAGTGAAAGAAAGCAGTCCAGAAAAGCTACATACTGTGTGATTCTAATTGACTAAAAATGTGCAAAATCAAGACAATCCTTTGCAAGGACATCCCACACACTGAGGAAGAGAGCAGATTTTTGTATGAGATATATGCAAGCGTGGGCCCTCTGGATCTCAGCTCACTGCCATACGCTAATTAGAATGGTAACAAGTGGAAAATGGAGGTCACCGGACAGTTACCTGAACTGTCAGCTATTGGCTGTGTCATTGGGCCTTCCACTGGCAGCCTCTATCAAAGGCTCTGATCAAGTGTACTCATGCTATGTCCTCTTGGCCTGTACCAGACCATGTGGTCCTCTCTTGCTGACTTAGCTGTGCCTTAGCCCCTTCCAATCCCCCAGAACCTTCCTTACAGTGAATCCTTCATCTGTTCCTTGGCAAAGGCTGTCCGTAGTGCTCACTGGGTGCATCACCTCACTTTTCATGCCAGGGGCTGTTTCCAATCTGTGGACTGTGGGCTCTAGGTTCTGCCTTTCATTCCTCATGGGGCCTCTGGAAATCCAAGGGGGTCAAGTGTCATCTCAGGATCTACAGTGTGCCCAAACCTTCCACCTCTGCTACAGAGAAAGGACCAAACTCTGATCATATTCCCCAAGTTTCCAGAATGGGACAGGGATATAGCCCCCATTTCATTCCTTTCAGTCTTAAAATTTTTGTTCCTCTTTTGAAGACACTCCTAATATCAGTGGTTCTCAACTGGGGACCGTTTGCCACCTTAGAGGATATTTGTCAATATCTGGATACATTTTTTAATAATCACAACTAGGAGGGAGACATGGCTAGTAACATTTAGTATTTTAGAGGCCCAGGATCCTGCTAAACATCCCACAATGCATATATTTATCCTGGGGCATTAGCTCTAGTAGAGGCCAGGTCACATCGAAAAAAACTAGCTTAATACGGGACAACACTCAGACATTATAAACATCCCTCTAACATAACAATAGGCAACATTTAATTGGTCCTTGACTTGATATTTCTTATGCTGGTGCTTTTCCATATTAGCTCATTTAGTCTTCACATCAGCCTTATGAGGCACATGTCCTAAACTCTCTTTCACAGATGAGGAATCTAAGGCACAGAACAGTAAGCATTTTTTTTCACAGTCACAGTCTTTTAGGATGGCATCAAGATTTAAATCCAGAAGGGGAAACCTAAGAGTTCACACTATTAAGGGCTCTGTTCTGTCACCCTTGGACACACTTTCCAAGCTCAGTGCATTGGTGCTGTCACTGGGAGGAAGACTCACTGCAGAGAAGCTTCTGCAGGGCTTCCTTCATGTCTTCGTTCATTGCAGTATGATGGATAACTTTTGTATGGCCTTTCTCACAGTGGTCTTGTAACTCCCAGGTGATTGGGTGTGACTGTGTTGATAGGGTAATTGTATCTCGTAAAAGGGATTGGTCAGTTTTGCCATCTCGCTGGGCTTGAAATGAGCCACCCCAGAGGCAGGAAAGAGAGGATCCCACCACTACCTAGGAATAACAGCCAGAGTGGAGAGCACGTCCTTTGGACCTGGGATCCTTGCACTGAGAAGCTCCTGGACCCGGGAGACAGAGCGAGCTGTAACCCTGAAGATGGTGAGAAGTGGTGGCAGAGAAGCAGTGGCAGGAGAGATCACACAGTGGGCTTCCTTGTCCATGAAGTGAGAAAGCTGAGTGCCTTTCAGCAGAAGCAGAGAGGTGTGCGTGCAAGCACAGCTGGGAAGAGGTCCTGATGGAAAAACAGTATCCTGAGTGTTCCTCAACCTGAACTGTAACCTGTTACTTTCCAAATAAACCCCATAATCGTGAGTATCGTCTATGAGTTCTGTGTGGACATTGCAATGGATTATCAAACAGTAGCAGAGAAGTAAGAGAGTGACATGGTAGGGATGGTTGATGTCAGAATTGATAAAGATGATGGAGAGAGGAGGTATGTCTGACTTCTGCTTCATAGGCATCAGCCTTGGGCTGCTGATCTTGATTCTCCTCCCTTGTGAAGTTAGAGGAGGTCAGACGCCACCAACCCCAAGCCGTTTTTACAGTTGGCATCAGAAGTGGGATTCTTTGCAATGGTTCCAGACTCACAGAAGCCTGGAAACTTGTAAGAGAAAGAATGAAGGAGCTTGGGAAGTGAAACTTTTGATTCTTAGATGGTTACTTTTGTTGTTACCTGTAATGGCTGAAAAGATTCAGCTGAAGTGGCCTGGGGCAAAAGCCAGGCCAGATAAGCAGGATGATTGATAGGGGGCCAAGGTCTACTGATTCCACCTAGCCAGAGGCCCAAGGCCATATGCATATGAATGGGAAGACAGTCAAGGGGTGGAGAAAAGATGAAACTGGAATTTTTTAAAAGGGTTATGTGTTTATGATTATGTGTTTATCTAAATGTACTATGGATGTTGAATGTTTCTCCTACGTAGTGTTGTAAAGCAGACCTAAATTTATGATAGAAATGAATATTGGGTGTTATAGATTGCAAAGGACGTGTAACTCCACCTTCAGCCAATACTTGATTGGTATGCTAAAAGGGGAGCTAGGATTTGCCTGAGGGAAACAGGCTGTTTGAATGCAGTAGCCCTGTGTAAAGATTGGAGGCTTAGGTCAAAACTCTGAGCCCCACCCAGATTTTTCTTTTGAAAAGTCATGCAGAACTATCTAGAACTGCTGAGAGATCAGAAGATTTTCATGTGAATGATCTGCAAGAAAATAAGTGTTTTGCTTTTTGAATTTCGAGTAAGCAGTTTGCTGTTGGACTCATCCAGGCTAGAAAAGAGAGTGTCCTTCAGAAGGAGCACCTTTCCAGGACTGGAAGTTAAAGGGAGCCAGCGAGTAGACAGCTTAGTATGCTTGCTTGTGGTGACCACCTGGGTCCACTCAATGAGCAGAAGTTGAGAAGTGCAGCAATGAAGAGACAGGCTGAATATGGACATGTTCCACTGGAAGTCGTTGACCTAGCCCATGGGTTTTGGGATAAGAGAGTGAGAGGAAGGTCTGGCTGGTCAGAAAATAAAGGGAGTTGGTGAACTCCTGAAGTTTGCAGGTGGAACCCCTTTATCTAGCCCAAAGGGGTTAGGGATGGGACTGTGAAGGGGCTGTCTGAAGTGCCTGGAGATGTGTGTGAGCTCTGGAGCCTAAGGCTACTACCCATTGTGGCCTAGCTTGGATGGCTAGGGATGAGCGGACCAGAATCCGACAGAATGAAGAGGAAGACGTTTGGCATCTTAAGCTGGTGTAGATTGCTGCAATTTGATGGCTTGCTCTGGACTGTACTTTGCTTATGGATGCAGATGCTCTTAGTTACAACTGGAACAGAAGATTCTTTAAGACCAGGGAACATGTTTGTCTTCTCATAGTACTGGTTTAATAGGGACGGGCAATTTAAACATTACCTATCTAAAATGGGAGAAGAGAAAGGCATGAAGTGGTTGTGCTTACCTGAAATGAGGAGGACGAGAGAGGATCCCCACTGAATAGATTCCTCTTTTCCTGATAGGTCGGGGTAAGAGAGGATGGAGAAGATGTCAATATAATTATATGATTCATTTTTGAGTGTTGATTGTTAACAGGGTTAACTGTGATTGTAAAAACTAATTGTAGAAGCTGTAAGTGTGAAAGTGTGGACTAAGAGGGAGTCACTGCTGAATTTGAGTACGGTGACCAAACCTAAAGGTCCTTAAATGTTTTGCTATGCTGATACCTTGTGAGGCTTAGAGCAAGGGAGTAATCTTCTCTCAGTTGAATTTTATCAGACATCAGAAAGGGTGAAGCCAAGACGAACTATTGGAGAACCTGACCAGAGCAGATGGATACCTGCAGTAGACCTGAATGGTGAGTACCTGAGTAACCCCACCCTTAAGACTCTTTGCCCTATTGAGGACTAATGGTTAATGACTGTTTTGGATGGGTAAAATGATTAGGAGGGAGAAGTTATCCTCCAAGTATGAAAGAACCATTACTAGAAAAGCCGGGGGCGGTCTGCAACACCATGGATCGCTTTTGTGTAGCCTTTGTTGCCAAGGTCTTGTAACGCCCACCCAGGTGATTGGGCGAGACTGTGCAGATAGGGTAATTGTAGCCCACCAAAGGGATTGGTTGGTTTTGCCATCCTACTGGGCTTGAAATGACCCACACCAGAGGTAGGAAATAGAGGATCCCACCACTACCAAGGAGAACATCCAGGAGTGGAGAGTTCATCCTTTGGACCTGGGATCCCTGTGCTGAGAAGCTCCTGGGCCCAGGAGACAGCAAGGTGTAACCCTGAAGATGGTGAGAAGCAGTGGCAGGAGAGACCACTCAGTGGGCTTCCCAGCGCATGGAGCAAGGAACCTGAGTGCCTTTGGGCAGAGACAGAGAGCCAGGGAGAGGCGTGCCTGTGAGCACAGAAGGGAAGAGTCTGTCCTGATGGAAGACCTGTATTCTGAGCATTCCTGAACCTGAATTGTAACCTGTTACTTCCCGAATAAACCCCATAATCGTGAGTATTGTCTGTGAGTTCTGTGTGGTCATTGCAATGAACTATCAAACCCAGCAGAGAAGTAGAGAGTGACATGAGATAGACAGATGGTGTCAGAATTGGTAAAAATGGCAGAAAGAGGAGACATATCTGACCTCTGCCTCACAGGAATCAGCCTTGGGCTGCTGATCTTGATTGATTCTTCTTCCCCCTTGTGAAGTTAAAAGTTGTCAGATGCTTTTACTATCCACAAGTTATAGAGGAAGGGGTGCATCAGGGGAGCGACTTCGTTGTACAGGACCAAGGCAAACACCCCTGCCAAAGAGACATATGTAGATATAGAACGGAGACACCTAGGAGGCTCCGTAGAACAAGGAGACAACTGAGAGATGAGACCCGCAGGTTGAAAGTGCTTTGTACTTCCTGTTATGGGTTGAGTTGTACCCCTCAAATAGGTGTTATGTATCTTAACTCCTATACCTGTGGACATAATCCCGTTTGGGAGTGGGTCTTCTTTGTTATGTTAATGAGGCAGTATTAGTGTAGGGTGTGTCTTAAGTCAGTTTCTTTTGAGATAGAAAAAGAGCAGATTGAGTAAGCAACCAAGCAAGCAACCAGAGATGGAGGAAGATAGATGCCACATCATATGAAGATCATAGCGGAACCAAGAAATAGAAGCTGAGAAGAGTCAAGAACTTTCCCCTAAGGTCGACCAAGAGAGAAAGCATTCCATAGATCCAGCACTCTGAATCTGGACATCTAGCCTCCTAAACTGTGAGAAAATAAATTTCTGTGTTAAGGTCACCCACTTGTGTTTCTGTTATAGCAACATTAGATAACTAAGGCAGAATTTGGTACTGGAGCATGGGGTGCTATTGTAAAAATCAAAAATGTGGAAGTGGTTTTGGAATTGGGTAGTGAGTGGAGGCTGGAAGAGTTTTAAGGTGCCTAATAGCCTAGTTTGCCTTGAGATGTTGGTAAAATTATGGACATCAAAGGCAATTCTGGTGAGGGCTCAGGAAGAAGTGAGGAGAGCCATAGAGAAATTATCATCTTAGAGAATATATACGGTGCCTTCAATAGAATGTTCCTAAACGTGGACATTACATAGGCGTTTGGTGATGCTTTAACAGGAAATGATGAACATGAGATTGGACAATGGAGGAGGAGTGATACTTTTTATGCAGTTGCAAAGAGCTTGTCTGAATTATGTTCGAATATTTGGTAGAGAGGAGAACTTGTAAGGAACTTGGGTATATGGCTGAGGAGACTTCAAAGAAACGTCTTAAACGGGCGGCATGATTTCTTCTTCCCGCTTATAGTGAAATGCGAGAAAAAAGAATGGACTTAAAAATGAACTGTGAAAAATGAAAGCAGAATTTAAAGATTTGGAAAATTCTGTTGAACACACTAAGGACATGTTCCCTAAAACTCTCACCAAGGTCTTGGTGACTCAATCTTTTGTTAAAGAGATTAGTCCTGTGACTGATGGATCCAACCAACTTCGACAGCAGAAAACCCATCATCTTAGGCTGAAGGAGATGGAGAGAGGATGAAAAGAAGGAAACCTGTCTGCTTCTTGGGATTCTACAGGCAGGAAACAGATCAAAGGAGTTACACCTATTGTCCTCCAAGAAAATAAAAGGAGCATCCCTGGAGCAGTTCTGAGAGTACCAGAACTGTAGGTAAGAACACAGGAATTAGGCTGACTCGGATTCAAAGGGTAGAGCCATGACCTCCTAGGTTTCAAAGGGTGGAAGTAGGGCCTTCTGGGTCTCAAAGCGTAGAGTCACAGTCTCCTGCTTCTTAAAGGGTGGAGCCATAGCCTCCTTCAAATCTAAAGAGTTAGATTTCCACCAGCTCGGTTCTGGAATGTGGGGTTGCCATTCAGATATGCCAAGAGGATTAGGCCGCTGCCTAAAGCTATTTCAAAAACAATGAGGGTTAGGCACAAAGCAATAATATCAATAACATTCATTCACCAAGGGAAAGTTATTAGTCCACAGACCTGGAAGGTATATAAAACGAAAGAATAGGAAATACTACAAAAAAGAAATAAGCCAAATTCAAGAATTCTATCTTTATGTTGTCCGGTGTTTGGGAACAAAGGATTTACAGGCCTGGTCCTGGATCCTGGGATGAGTTGTCCATGCCAGATTTTGTTTCTCATCCTGGCGATTTTTGAATTTTACTTTGAGTCCTTTAGTTGGTTTAACTGTCCAAGTAGGAGCAGCAGCTTTCTTCAGTTGAGAGAGGTGTATCCAGGTCTTAACTCCATAGTTAATTTTAGTTACTTGTAATTCTAGATCAGTAATACCTTGAAATTTTGTCAGTTTTTTTCAAGTTTTAGAAATCTTGATTCAGTCCAATGATATACGTATTTGAATTATTATAATCCTTTTTATAAGTCTGATATAGTTCATTTTTGTTGAGGTATTTTGTTCAAGCATTTTCAGTGAGTTGGTAAAGTAGAACTTTTCTGCAGATGACAAACTTAAGGATTACCATGGATAACTTACAATAATTTTTAAAAAGTGAACGACATGCTTGAAATTACAACAGATCGCAAAGCCAAATAAAGTTAATGAGAAAACTAACCTCTAAATATACTGATTATTCTCATTTCCAGAGAGCTTCAGATATAACATATAACAATCTTGAGACATGGTACTATATAGTCAGGATATATCAAAACTATATTAAGCTAATCATTTGAATGGTGATAAAAACTTTATAGATAAATAGTGTGAATTCTATAGTTAAAACCATTGGCTTTGATGATGCTAGATTAAAGGAAGCAAAGTTGGGACTAAGTTAGCAATGGAAATAATATAATTAAGACATAATATATGCTTATTGTTTAATATTAGATAAACATTCTTGATACGTAAATTTTTAATTCAAAGAAAAATTGGTACTTCTCCTGATTTGATAACATATTTTATGTAATTTATATCACATAACAGAAACGAATCTTTTGTGGCTTTCTAAAAAGTTTCAGACTTGTGAGAAGTTTATTATAGATTACTGAGAACTGATACTTAAGTTATTTAAAGCAAAAATTTTAAAGGTAAAAACCTTAGTTTTTTTTTCAAAATTATGTGGCTTTGTTTTTGATTCAGGAATTTGTTTTGGCAGATTGCATAAAGAATAAAATTAACCTTTTAACTTAGTAATTTTAAAAAAATTTGTTATCTTAACAGTGAGAAATCCAATTCTTTGTTTTATACGCTATTTGACATTGCGTTGTTGTTAGGTGCCGTCGAGTCGGTTCCGACTCATAGCAGCCTCATGTTCAACAGAATGAAACACTGCCCCGGTCCTGTGCCATCCTCACAATCATTGTTATGCTTGAGTCCATTGTTGCAGGTGTTGAGTTAAGCATTTTAAATGTATCATCTCATTTTGGAGCCCTAGTGGCACAGTGGTTTAAAGCTACGGCTGCTAACCAAAAGGGCGGCAGTTCAAATTCACCAGCTGCTCCTTGGAAATCCTGTAGGGCAGTTCTACTCTGTCCTATATGGTCGCTGAGTCAGAATCCACTCGACAGCAACAGATGTTTTAATCTCATTTTATCATCCCAATAATACAAAATTAGTGAAGAAATTTTTAGTTGCAATTAGTTTAAAAAAAGATAAAAAATTGTTAAGAAAGATTTTTTTTTTTTTTTTTTGGTTCTTGTGCTTGGAAGTCTTTGGGACAGCTGGGTAAAGACATAGCTGTATCCATGGGCTCAACGATATCATCTGGACACTTTCTGTCTCTCTGCTATATTTCCCTCTAAGTTGTTTCATCCTTAGACTATCCTCATGTTATTATGAGGTGAATGCCATCAACTCCATGCTTACATCCAATCAAGATAACAACCCTAGAGTGGTTCCCCCAACTACCTCATCAAAAGTCTCAGAATGGATTCTGAATGGCCTCTTCTGGTCACATGCTAACCGGTGACTCAATCCCTATGGCCAGTGTTCACTTACTACCAGGTATGGGTCACTCACCTATCCTTCCAGTTGGGAAGTGAGGTCAGCCTTATTTGAACTATTTGGACCAAACTAAAGAAGCGGCAACTCCCCAAAGGAAAATCACAACATCATTACCAAAAGAAGGAGGAAGGGATGAAAGAAAGCACAAGACAAGTAGATAATCTCATACACCCTATGGAGAAAGTACTCTTATAGCTCCAATTTCACATAAGAGTAAACTGAGGCTGAGGGAGGTGAGGTGAAGTGACTTGATAAAAAAAAACAACTCACGGCTGATATATGGCAGAGCTGGAATTTAGACTCTCAAGTTTGAACTTTGAGGCACTGTACTATTCAGCTTTCTTGACAATAACAACCTTAGGTAATAGTGTATTATGATATTTGTGCCG